TGTAAATTTTGTAATATCAAGGGAAAACCAGGTTACCAACTATCCCGACGATGAAGATCAGGATATACCAGGGGTACCAACCATCCCTGACTGATGTAAGATCCAGTAAGATCAGTGATATACCAGGTGTACCAACCATCCCTGACTGATGTAAGATCTAGTAAGATCAGTGATATACCAGGTGTACCAACCATCCCTGACTGATGTAAGATCAGTGATATACCAGGGGTACCAACCATCCCTGACTGATGTAAGATTTAGTAATATCAGTGATATACCAGGTGTACCAACCATCCCTGACTGATGTAAGATCAGTGATATACCAGGGGTACCAACCATCCCTGACTGATGTAAGATCCAGTAAGATCAGTGATATACCAGGTGTACCAACCATCCCTGACTGATGTAAGATTTAGTAATATCAGTGATATACCAGGTGTACCAACCATCCCTGACTGATATAAGATCAGTGATATACTAGGGGTACCAACCATCCCTGACTGATGTAAGATCCAGTAAGATCAGTGATATACCAGGTGTACCAATCATCCCTGACTGATGTAAGATCAGTGATATACCAGGGGTACCAACCATCCCTGACCACCAGTACAGTTCGTACATAAATAATCTCTACGGACATCATTAGCCACGTTCCGACGAAGGATTCGTCTCATATTTGCAGAGTGCATGGAATGAGCTCTAGCTCCTGGGGTCTTGAGCATCTTAAGAGCTTTGATTTATAGAGTTTTGACTTAGTGTTGTGCTGGTGGAGCAGCACTAGACTACTACTACGTCCTGGAGTTATCAACAACGTACGTTACTTGTACCAGTGTCACCATAACTTACGTTATTGTTAGGTGTAACTAGTAATAACTATCACACTGTAATAACAACCATTATTATTATTTATAATAAGCCATAACTAACGCACTCTGTTTAATAAACAATAACAAACAATAACAAACAATAAGTATCACATTGTTATAACAAACAATAACAAACAATAAGTATCACATTGTTATAACAAACAATAAACAATAAGTATCACATTGTTATAACAAACAATAACAAACAATAACAAACAATAACAAACAATAAGTATCACATTGTTATAACAAACAATAACAAACAATAAGTATCACATTGTTATAACAAACAATAACAAACAATAACAAACAACAAACAATAACAAACAATAAGTATCACATTATTCTTTATAATAAACAATAACTTACAACAAAATAATTTTCCAAACTTAAGATGCGAGTTGAAAGGTTTTCTTAGTATGTGAGGCAGTGGTAGTGGCACCCCTAGTGTGGCACTCCTGCTTGATGGCACTGGTGCCAAGCTTAACCTTCCTGCTTCCATCCAGTGTGGCACTCCTGCTTGATGGCACTGGTGCCAAGCTTAACCTTCCTGCTTCCATCCAGTGTGGCACTCCTTGATGGCACTGGTGCCAAGCTTAACCTTCCTGCTTCCATCCAGTGTGGCACTCCTGCTTGATGGCACTGGTGCCAAGCTTAACCTTCCTGCTTCCATCCAGTGTGGCACTCCTGCTTGATGGCACTGGTGCCAAGCTTAACCTTCCTGCTTCCATCCAGTGTGGCACTCCTGCTTGATGGCACTGGTGCCAAGCTTAACCTTCCTGCTTCCATCCAGTGTGGCACTCCTGCTTGATGGCACTGGTGCCAAGCTTAACCTTCCTGCTTCCATCCAGTGTGGCACTCCTGCTTGATGGCACTGGTGCCAAGCTTAACCTTCCTGCTTCCATCCAGTGTGGCACTCCTTGATGGCACTGGTGCCAAGCTTAACCTTCCTGCTTCCATCCAGTGTGGCACTCCTGCTTGATGGCACTGGTGCCAAGCTTAACCTTCCTGCTTCCATCCAGTGTGGCACTCCTGCTTGATGGCACTGGTGCCAAGCTTAACCTTCCTGCTTCCATCCAGTGTGGCACTCCTGCTTGATGGCACTGGTGCCAAGCTTAACCTTCCTGCTTCCATCCAGTGTGGCACTCCTGCTTGATGGCACTGGTGCCAAGCTTAACCTTCCTGCTTCCATCCAATGTGGCACTCCTGCTTGATGGCACTGGTGCCAAGCTTAACCTTCCTGCTTCCATCCAGTGTGGCACTCCTGCTTGATGGCACTGGTGCCAAGCTTAACCTTCTGCCTCCATCTAGGGTGGCACTCCTGCTTGATGGCACTGTCAGGCTTTAAGACACTGGTGCCAAGCTCTGTGGCACTGATAGCAGACCTGCCTCTTCTAATTTAACTATTTTATGTATAATATGGTGTTAAATTTTAATTCTCATTAAATCACGCTAAATAGTTTTCAAGTTAACTCTTATGAACAACTGTAAAGTTTAATGGCTGATGCGTCTTTCTGAATACCAGAAGCTCCGTTAGTGAGGATTTAGGAAGCTATCTGAGCCAGTCAATGAGGATGCTGAGGATGGCTTCAACAACTGTATTCATAATGAACACACACACACACACACACACACACACACACACACACACACATGCCGAGTGTTCCAAGAAACTGGTCCTAGTGACCGTGTATTACCTTTGAAACTATGAAGCTGATTGGATGAGGCTTTGTCGAGTTATGACCGGAATAAAAACGAGAAGTTGAAGGAAGAGAAAAAATCAACCTGACGTGCGATCTTAAACATACTTGTTGACGTATATATGAGACACAATGCTGGTTGATGTATGTATGAATCACATTGCTGGTTGATGTATGTATGAGACACATTGCTGGTTAACATGCATATAAGACACAACTGTGACTATAATTTTTAAAGGGTTGAACCGGTAAGCCAGCGGAAGGCCTCAGTCAAGTGACCTGAAGTTCCAAGGGCGGGTCATCATCTGACCAAGACCCGCGTCAGGAAACACTTGTCCTGTTTCCTGACGAACCTTATCTAACCTATCCTATGAGGCACATTACGGGTTGAAATATGTAAGAAACATTGTTGGTTGACATAAATATGAGACACTTCTGGACAAACTCACTATCCTCCAACATAGTGCTGAAGCTGTGTATTATACTGCCAAGAGGCGGACACAAAACTTCGTGAATTTTACATTGCGACAAACACTGTCCGACATTAACAGATTAACATATCATCATTATTATAAATATTTTACAAAAACAGAAGGAATGAATTTAATCTTAAGGCACAAAGGTGAATATTGAGTAGCATCTCAGTTTCTATATACTGAAAATTTACTTTAATCCCTAATTTAGGGATTAAAATTTTCTTGACTAAGGGTAAACAGGTTACATGGAGCCTCAATTACCCTTTGAAAATCAGACAGACTTTAAAGCCAGTTGAGCAGTCAACCAGTTAGACTTAACACTGAACCGAGCATCACATACTGTACAGTGTTACTGTCACATAGACGTGACTCAATGTGATTAAAAATAACACATTAAATATCTAAGGATATTTCATGTTGCAGGTTATTGTTGTTGTCAGGGCGGATCAAACGATTATACAATACTGACTGATTTCTGGGATCAGGAGTATACAAGCAGGTCAGAAGTGAGGAGTTGCTTGTGTTCATTTCCTGCCGTCTACACAAGACTCGGCCAACTTTATCCAACACTGCTAAATTTTCCCTGATAAAGTTATTTTTCCTCCAAAGCGAAGTTTTTTTTCTCAGTTTTTCCCAAATTTGAGGCTATTTACCCGAACCGTCCTGGCCTGTCATGGCGTCCCACAGCCTCCCTCCCCCACACCATCGTGTTTTCAGTGAGATACACTTGTAACTTCTTCACCTTCCCTTCCACACACTACGTGTCCTAACACCACTTCGTCTTCTTATCATATGAACGTAAGTCAATAGCACTACACACGTTAATTTCTGTTAGTTTACACTGCCTTTGGAATGGCTAAATTAACTAAATTTAACTAATTATAACAAAACTAATTATAACAAGGCTTACAGCCTTCTCCCTGAAAGCTGGCTGCCTTGGATCAAACGTGTAGCGCATGCTGCACGCCAAGGTATTGTCCAGTGTGGGTAGATTGGTAAAGCACTGCGTACCTTGTCCTAAGGTTCGTAGGTTCGAGTCTCCTTCAGCCAGAGATCAGTGTTTATATATTTCGCCTGCTCTCGCGAATTCCTTGCATATATATATATATATATATATATATATATATATATATATATATATATATATATATATATATATATATATATATATATATATATATGAAGGAGGGGTGTTAATGTTGCAGTTTAAAAACTGTAGTGTAAAGCACCCTTCTGGCAAGACAGTGATGGAGTGAATGATGGTGAAAGTTTTTCTTTTTCGGGCCACCCTGCCTTGGTGGGAATCGGCCGGTGTGATAATAAAAAAAAAATATATATAATATATATATATATATAAAGTCTGGAGTGAGTCAACGGTTGCAAGCTTGTGAAATGGGGTTGGCAGTTGAGAAAAAATGATCAGTAGTGGATCGATCGTCAAGGTAGAGTTTTTGAAAAAGCAGATGACATCACACTAAAGCTTGTCTTCCTGTGTCTTAGGAGGGTTTGGTGGGGTCTAGAGGTGGGACTGACCTTGGGATCTAGAGGTGGGACTGACCTTGGGATCTAGAGGTGGGACTGACCTTGGGATCTAGAGGTGGGACTGACCTTGGGATCTAGAGGTGGGACTGACCTTGGGATCTAGAGGTGAGACTGACCTTGGGATCTAGAGGTGAGACTGACCTTGGGATCTAGAGGTGGGACTGACCTTGGGATCTAGAGGTGGGACTGACCTTGGGATCTAGAGGTGGGACTGACCTTGGGATCTAGAGGTGAGACTGACCTTGGGATCTAGAGGTGGGACTGACCTTGGGATCAAGAGGTGGGACTGACCTTGAGATGAAGAGGTGGGACTGACCTTGAGATGAAGAGGTGGGACTGACCTTGGGATCAAGAGGTGGGACTGACTTTGGGATCTAGAAGTGAGACTGACCTTTGGATCAAGAAGTGGGACTGACCTTGAGGAAGCCTGAAGGAGTGTTGACTGAAGGCTGCACCTTAGAGATACACTCTCCCTCACACTTGTTGACAGCGAGGTCCTCCTCACACGTCCTCGTCACCCGTCCAGCATCGTCGAACTCATCTGTTAAGCAATTACCAGTTAATGGTCCAAGCTGAACCGAAACGCCGTTATACGTTTCTCTCTTCCATGTGCGGGTTATTTGTGTATTGTTTCAGTCACGGTATTGTGCTATTTTGTTCTTTACCAATTAGTTGATCTCACACACACACACACACACACACACACACACACACACACACACACACACACACCAACCTAACTTCACCTACTGACAGATTCGCAATGAACATAAAACCCAGACAACACAAACCAGAGCATGGTAAGAGAAAGAAAATTCAGTGTTGTACACAAATTAAGACTAGCACAAATAACCCGCACATAAAAGAGAGAAGCTTACGACGACGTTTGTGTATCGTTCCAGTCACGGTATTGTGCCTTTTTTGTTATTTAAGACTAGCACTTGGAAACTGAAGAAAGCTCAGAAGTTTGCAACAAGTATAGTTCCAGAACTAAGGAGTTCGACCTCTGAATCGAGACTAAATACATCCAATGAATTCAGAAGATCGGCAAAGCCGGAGAGACATGAGTACAGTGAGCAAGATGCTCGGAGGACGTGACAGGAGGGATAGGGATAGATTGCTCGAAATAAACTTTAAAGGGAAGAAGGGAGCATTTTTCCCATGCAAAAGCATGGGAAAATGCAGAAATTGAATGACAGAAAAAAACAGAAATGAGTAGGAGACCATATTGAATAAGCAAGGACGAGAAGAAAAGCTGAGTGGAACATGAGAATGACATGCGAGTCAAATTTGAACTAAAACTGTTACACAAGCACATCCAAAGAAAGGCCACAATAAAAGACTAGAAAATAAGACTGAAAATAAAGGAAGAGAGCTTATGAGAAACGACGAGGAAATATACGAGAACCTGAACAAAAGACACAACAAGGTGGAAACAGAACAACACCAGAGTCGAAGAGAAGGAGTACACCTCGAGCACTGGTCACTATAAATACAACAGGGAAAGAGACGAAGCAACTCTGAGTGAACTAACTACATCAGAAGCAACGTAACCTGACGGTGTTACCAGTAACTCTACAAGAGGGAGCAGAGACACTGTCTAAAACGTTAGCTAAACTACAGTAAGACGGGAAATGTAGTCGCAGTATCTAATAAAGGAGACAGACGAAACTACTAAACTACAGGCCACTATTATTGACAAGCATACTATGTAAGGTAACGCAGATGATAGTCAGAATTAGAGTGGTAGAGAACCTGGAAGGACGTTCTTACATAAACAACCTCCAGGACGGACTGAGGGATGGCAAAACCTGTTTCACAAACTTGTTAGAATTCTGTGATTAAGTAATAGAAGCGAGGAGAGAGAGAGAGAGAGAGAGAGAGAGAGAGAGAGAGAGAGATGGGTGAAATGATCGTTCATTAATTTCAAGAAAGCATCTGACACTAACTCATTGGAGCCAAGAGTATCTTATGGGAAAAAGACAAAGAATGATTGCCTGAGAAGAGGTGTCAGCATGGGCAAGCGTAACAAGTGGGGTTGCACAAGGATCAGTTTTGGGATGGCTACTGTTTCTGGTACATATGAATGATGAATAATGAGACACTTGTGCAACATTTGGGAATCTTTATCGAGGAAACGTTTCGCCACGCAGTGACGAAACCTTTCCTCAATAAAGATTCCCACTAAGAATTACGAAAAAATGAAATAATTAAGTTACATTCTGATAGTTAGTCGAAGTTTGACAAATTTCTTTCAAATACTGAAGTAGGGAGGGAGGGAGGGAGGGAGAACTTCGAGTATATAAAAAAAAAAAACAGGGGCTACCTATCTCAGATCAGGGAGGTAGAGAGAGACAGGGTTATGAGATACAGGGGCTACCTATCTCAGATCAGGGAGGTAGAGAGAGACAGGGTTATGAGATACAGGAGCTACCTATCTCAGACCAGGGAGGTAGAGAGAGCCAGGGTTACGAGATACAGAGGCTACCTATCTCAGATCAGGGAGGTAGAGAGAGCCAGGGTTATGAGATACAGAGACTACCTATCTCAGATCAGGGAGGTAGAGAGAGCCAGGGTTATGAGACACAGAGGCTACCTATCTCAGATCAGGGGGGTAAGAGAGCCAGGGTTTGAGATACAGGGGTTTACCTATCTCAGTTCAGGGACGTAGAGAGAGCCAGGGTTATGAGATACAGGGGCTACCTATCTCAGATCAGGGAGGTAGAGAGAGCCAGGGTTGTGAGATACAGGGGCTACCTATCTCAGATCAGGGAGGTGGAGAGAGCCAGGATTATGAGATACAGGGGCTACCTATCTCAGATCAGGGAGGTAGAGAGAGCCAGGGTTCTGAGATACAGGGGCTACCTATCTCAGATCAGGGAGGTAGAGAGAGCCAGGGTTGTGAGTACGGGGGCTACCTATCTCAGATCAGGGAGGTAGAGAGAGCCAGGGTTATGAGATACAGGGGCTACCTATCTCAGATCAGGGAGGTAGAGAGAGCCAGGGTTATGAGATACAGGGGCTACCTATCTCAGATCAGGGAGGTAGAGAGAGCCAGGGTTATGAGATACAGGGGCTACCTATCTCAGATCAGGGAGGTAGAGAGAGCAGGGTTGTGAGATACAGGTGCTACCTATCTCAGATCAGGGAGGTAGAGAGAGCCAGGTTATGAGATACGGGGGCTACCTATCTCAGATCAGGGAGGTAGAGAGAGCCAGGTTATGAGATACAGGGCTACCTATCTAGATCAGGGAGTAGAGAGAGCCAGGGTTATGAGATACAGGGGCTACCTATCTCAGATCAGGGAGGTAGAGAGAGCCAGGGTTGTGAGATACAGGGGCAAACCTACTCAGATCAGGGAGGTAGAGGAGCCAGGGTTATGAGATACGGGGGCCCTACCTATCTCAGATCAGGGAGGTAGAGAGAGCCAGGGTTATGAGATACAGAGCTACCTATCTCAGATTCAGGGGGGTAGAGAGAGAGCCCAGGGTTATGAGATACAGGGCTACCTATCTCAGATCAGGGAGGTAGAGAGAGCCAGGGTCATGAGAAAACAGGGGCTACCTATCTCAGATCAGGGAGGTAAAGAGAACCAGGGTTATGAGATACAGAGGCTACCTATCTCAGATCAGGGAAGTAGAGAGAGCCAGGGTTATGAGATACAGGAGCTACCTATCTCAGATCAGGGAGGTAGAGAGAGCCAGGGTTATGAGATACAGGGCCTACCTATCTCAGATCAGGGAGGTAGAGAGATCCAGGGTTATGAGATACAGGGGCTGCCTATCTCAGATCAGGGAGGTAGAGAGAGCCAGGGTTATGAGATACAGGGGCTACCTATCTCAGATCAGTGAGGTAGAGAGAGCCAAGGTTATGAGATACAGGGGCTACCTATCTCAGATCAGGGAGGTAGAGAGAGCCAGGGTTATGAGATACAGAGGCTACCTATCTCAGATCAGGGAGGTAGAGAGAGCCAGGGTTATGAGATACAGGGGCTACCTATCTCAGATCAGGGAGGTAGAGAGAGCCGGGTTTTGAGATACAGGGGCTACCTATCTCAGATCAGGGAGGTAGAGAGAGCCAGGGTTATGAGATACAGGGGCTACCTATCTCAGATCAGGGAGGTAGAGAGAACCAGGGTTATGGTATAAAAGGAATTTCTATCTGGGATGGCGTGGCGTTCAAGAGGTGAACCCACCTTTAGCGATGTGTATGGTTGACGGAAGAGTCTCGCATTCTAGGTCGAATCTTCGGGCGTTTGTCTTACTGGTCACGCCCGCCAGAACCACCACACCCACAAGCCATACTGACGCCCACATCTGTAAACAAGACACAGCGATGATTACACAGTGTTCTGGCCGTGTGGCAGGAGAAGAGGGAAGGTAGCTTACAACACGGGAGCAGTGGGAGAAGTACAAGGTGACAAGTTCTTCTAATAACCATATAACATTACAATAACAGCAGCAGACACCCACCATCACAATAACATCAGACAGACACCATCACAATAACATCAGCAGACAGACACCATCACAATAACATCAGACAGACACCACCACAATAACATCAGCAGACAGACACATCACAATAACTCAGACAACACCATCACAATAACATCAGCAGACACACACCATCACAAAACAGCATCAGACACATAACCATCACAATAACACCCAGCGACACTTACACCATCACAATAACATCAGTAGACAGAAACCATCACAATAACAGCAGCAGACAGACACCACACAATAACATCAGACACACCATCATAATAACATCAGCAGACAGACACCATCACAAAACATGAGACAGACACCATCAAAATAACATGAACAGACACCATCACAATAACACCCAGACAGCCCACCCATCACAATAACATCAGCAACAGACACCATCACAATAACATCAGCAGACAGACACCATCACAATAACATCAGACAGACACCATCACAATAACATCAGCAGACACACACCTCACAATAACAGCAGCAGACAAATACACCATCACAATAACAGCAGCAGAAAACAACACCATCACAATAACATCACAGACACACTCAACATTACAATACCAGCAGCAGACACACACCATCCCCAAAAACAACAGCACACACACCATCACAATAACAGAAACAGGCACGCACCATCGCAATTACATCAGCAGACACCATCACAATAACATCAGCAGACACACACCATCACAATAACAGCAGCAGACACATACACCATCACAATAACATCAGCAGACACACACATTACAATACCACAGCAGACACACACCATCACAAAAACATCAGCAGACACACACCATCACAATAACACCCAGCAGACACATACACCATCACAATAACATCAGCAGACACACACATTACAATACCAGCAGCAGACACACACCATCACAAAAACAGCAGCAGAACACACCATCACAAAAACAGCAGCAGACACACACCATCACAATAACGCAACAGGCACGCACCATCGCAATAACATCAACAGACACAACACTATCACAATAATGGCAGCAGACACACACCATCACGATAACAGCACAGACACACCATCACAATAACATCAACAGACACCCCACTATCACAATAATGGCAGCAGACACACACCATCACAAAAACAGCAGCAGACACACACCATCACAAAACAGCGGGCAGACACGCACCATCGCAATAACATCAACAGACACACACTATCACAATAATGGCAGCAGACACACACCATCACGATAACAGCAGCAGACACACCATCACAATAACATCAACAGACACACACTATCACAATAATGGCAGAACACACACCATCACAAAAACAGCAGCAGACACACACCATCAAAAAACAGCAGCAGACACGCACCATCGCAATAACATCAACGACACACACTTCACAAATGGCAGCAGACACACACCATCCGATAACAGCAGCAGACACACCATCACAATAAAAATCAAAGACACACACTATCACAAATAAGGCAGCAGACACACACCATCACAATAAAAAGGCAGCAACACACGCCATCACAATACATCAGCAGACATACACCGTCACAATAACATCAGCAGACACACACCATCACAATAACAGCAGAAACCACACGCCATCATAATAACACAGCAGAAAAACCACCATCAAAATTTAACATCAGCAGACACACACAATATTACAATACCAGCAGCAGACACACACCATCACAATAACAGCAGCAGACACACACCATCACAGTAACATCAGCAGACACACACTATCACAATAATGGCAGCAGATACACACCGTCACAATAACATCAGCAGAAACACCATCACAATAAACCAGCAGACACATGCCATCACAATAACAGCAGCAGACACAAAACATCACAATAACATCAGCAGACACACACAATATTACAATACCAGCAGCAGACACACACCATCACAATAACAGCAGCAGACACACACCATCACAATAACAGCAGCAGACACACGCTATCACAATAACAGCAGCAGACACACACAATATTACAATAACAGCAGCAGACACACACCATCACAATAACAGCAGCAGACACACCATCAAAATTTAACATCAGCAGACACACACCATACAATAACAGCAGCAGACACACGCTATCACAATAACACAGCAGAACACACACAATATTACAATACCAGCAGCAGACACACACCATCACAATAACAGCAGCAAAACACAACACCATCACAATAACATCAGCAGACACATACCATCACAATAACAGACAGCAGACACACACCATGCAATAACATCAGCAAACACATACCATCACAACAGCAGCAGACACCATCCCAAATCACAAAAACATCAGCAGACACATACCGTCACAATAACATCAGCAACACACACCATCACAATAACAGCAGCAGACACATACCATCACAATAACACCAGTAGACACATACCATCACAAAAACCCTCAGCAGACACACACCCATCACAATAACATCAGAAACCCACACACCATCACAATAACATCAGCAAACACACACATCACAATAACATCAGCGACACACACCATCACAATAACAGCAGCAGACACCCCACCATCACAATAACATCAGGAGACACACACCATCACAATAACAGCAGCAGACATACCCCATCACAATAACATCAGCAAACACACACCATCACAATAACAGCAGCAGACATACACCATCACAATAACATCAGCAAACACACACCATCACAATAACAGCAGCAGACGTTACACCATCACAATAACATCAGAAAAACACACACCATACAATAAAATCAGCAGACACAAAACCATCACAAAAACAGCAGCAGACACACACCATCACAATAACATCAGCAGACACCACACCATCACAATAACAGCAGCAGACATACACCATCACAATAACATCAGCAAACACACACCATCACAATAACGCAGCAGACACACACCATCACAATAACAGCAGCAGACACACACCACCCAAAAACATCAGAAGACACCCCACCATCACAATACAGCAGCAGACACACACCATCACAATAACAGCAGCAGACACACACCATCAAAAACATCACAGACACACACCATCACAATAACATCAGCAGACACACACCATCACAACATCAGCAGACACCGCCATCCAATAACAGCAGTAGACACACACCATCACAATAACAGCAGCAGACACACACCATCACAATAACAGCAGCAGACCACCCCATCAAAATTTAACAGCAGCAGACACACACCATCACAATAACAGCAGCAGACACACACCATCACAATAAGGGCAGCAGACACACACCATCACAATAACAGCAGCAGACCCCACCCCATCACAATAACAGCAGCAGACACACCCCATCACAATAACAGCAGCAGACACACACCTCAAAATAACAGCAGCAGACACACACCACCCACACCATCACAATAACAGCAGCAGACCACACCATCACAATAACAGCAGCAGACACACACCATCACAACATCAGTAGACACACCCCATCACAATAACATCAGCAGACAACACCATCACAACATCAGCAGACACACGCCATCACAATAACACAGTAGACACACACCATCACAATAACAGCAGCAGACACACCCCCATCACAATAACAGCAGCAGACACACACCATCACAACATCAGCAGACACACACCATCACAATAACATAGCAGAAAACCACCATCACAAAAAACATCAGCAGACACACCCATCACAATAACAGCAGACACACACCATCACAACATCAGCAGACACACACCATCACAATAACAGCAGCAGACACACACCATCACAACATCAGCAGACACACACCATCACAACATCAGCAGACACACCCATCACAATAACATCAGCAGACACACACCATCACAATAACAGCAGCAGACACACACCATCACAACATCAGCAGACACACACCATCACAACATCAGCAAAACACACACCATCACAATAACAGCAGCAACACACCCCATCAAAAACATCAGCAGACACACCCCATCACAACATCAGCAGACACACACCATCACAACATCAGCAGACACACACCATCACAATAACAGCAACAATCACATACACCATCACACTGCCTCCTCGCTTTAATTAATCAAGCGAGTGAAGTACACTGCAGGAGCCAGTATAAAACACTTAACCACATCTTAGTAACATCATGCTGGCACCTTCTTAACGAACCACCACAAGTCAACAGCAACTGCAGCAGCTGCAGCAACTGCAGCAGCTGCAGCTGCAACACCAGTAACTTATCCATAAATTATCCTATTTAAAAAAAAAAAACAGGAGCCTTTAATGCGTGGAAGTTGCTTTTATTTTATAATTTTGACAAATTGGAAACTGAATAAATATTGAATTTTTGGTTTTACGAGATTTTATTCTGGCCAGATTTATGAAATAACTGTCAGTAATGTTATATTTATGTTTGAACCGTGTGTGTGTGTGTGTGTGTGTGTGTGTGTGTGTGTGTGTGTGTGTTGTGTGTGTGTGTGTGTGTGTGTGTGTGTGTGTGTGTACGTACTCACCTAATTGTGGTTACATTGATCGAATCGTGTGTGTGTGTGTGTGTGTTAATATCTCGACTGGTCTAATTGTTTTGTGTTCCCGAGGATGTACTACCACTGCTTGTACTTCCTCCTCAGTGTCGTCATTACCACTGCTTGTACTTCCTCCTCAGTGTCGTCATTACCACTGCTTGTACTTCCTCCTCAGTGTCGTCATTACCCCTGCTTGTATTCCTCCTCAGTGTCGCATTACCACGCTTGTACTTCCTCCTCAGTGTCGTCATTACCACTGCTTGTACTTT